ATTCAAATAAGAAGTAATATCTTTTTTTTTTTTTTGATCAAAATTATATTTCATATCTAAAAGATAATTACAACAAGTTAAATTATTTCCTTAATTTATCTTAATTTATCAATTAAAATTTTCATTTTTTTTTCTTCCACATAATTTTTTAGCCAATATTAATGTTAAAATTTTAAAATAATTAAATAAAAATATATAAAATGAGTTAACTATTTTGTTCAAAATCTTTTTAAAAAAGTATAAACATAACAGCTGTTATTTTTCATTCGATTGTTTAACAAATGATTAGAAAAAAAAAAGAAAAAAGGAAAATTTATCACCTATCATTTATTTGAAATGCATTATTATCACTTTTTCAAACCATATATCTTTCAAAAATTACTCATTAACATCGATCATATAAATTAAAAAAAAAAAAGAAAAAAGCCCTTTCTAGTCTATTTATAAAATAATTTAATTACTAATAAAAATGTCCGCTATTAAAATTAATTATTTGATTGATTAAATATATGCCATAGATTTATTTTATCATTATAAACATATGAGTAAATAGTGCTAAAAATATCTTTTGCAATTGAAAAATAAGCTTGTTTATATCATTTATATGACAATTAAAAAATCTCACATTTTACATCATTATTTAATTATTTGATTGATTAAATACATAATTTTCATTATGATTTTGTTATCACAAAAGATATGATCATAACAGAAAGTGATATTAACTATCCTTTATGATAATTATATCATACCTTTTATTAAAATAGATACTGATATCATATTTTTTTTGCTAAGGGAACAATAAAAGTTAGAAAAATATTTAAAAGAAGAAGACGATGAAAAAGTGATAAATGGTATGATGAAGAGGAAAGGTTTAAAGAGCAAAAACTGTAATCAACAATAAAAATTAGATAAACTGGATTTTAACATTTTTATTAATTAATCAATTAATTAATTAATTAATTAATTACTGAACATTCATTCAGACTAAACATAAAACTTGTTCATTATTGTCCGCATTTACTATTTTAACAATTATACCTATTTAAGAATTTAACAATTTTGGAAGCATATTTATGGCAATTATTTCTATGCACAATATTTACACATATAATTTATTCAAATTTATTAATGGGGCGCAATTTTCAAAATTGCGCCTCATTAATAAAGAGTATATTCGACCAAATATATTCCTAACATATATACATATATCATTATGTAATATGATATTATCAGATATTTGAATTATTGATAAAATAATTAAATTATTCGTATGTATAAGATATCAATATTGATTGATGAAAAAAAAAAGAAAAAGAAAAATTGGCATAAATTTTCATATTTATCTTTTTTTTTTCATTTAAAAAATAAAATTTGAAATGTTCTAAAAGTTAAAAGAAAAAAAAGTAATTTTATTACCAAAGAAATATACTGAATTAAGTTAAAATGATTTTTTATCAATTTTCTTTTGCTTCAATTTATTCTTCGATAATTTTTGATTAATTAAAACATTAAAGATTAAAAGCATTCCGATATTTTTTCATTTAAATAGATAAAAGACATTCCGCTATTTAAATTTTTCATTTAAATTATTATTATTTCTTACATGAGTAAATAGAAATTAAAAAAAAAAAAAAAAAGGAAAAAGGAAAAGAAAAAGGAAGAATATAAGAAAAAGAATGAAAATTTGATGTT